CGTAAATACGGGACTCACAAAAGGAGAAGCGTTACGCCTTCTAAGACCAAATTCGTCACGCTCAATGTTTAATGAAAAAACATACAGATTTTCAAATATGCTTAAAAGAATAAAGAATACTTAGAATAAGTTTTTGATAACCATATCTCTGGAGTTATCTTCTGCAGGAGAGACAGTATACTTGAAAACAAAGAAAATAGCGCGCACACGTGAAAATATTAACTTTTGTAACACAATCTCATTTGGCTTTTCCAAACCTCAAGAACATACAGACAGGGAAATTACCCCTTAAAACTAACCCTTACTATCACATCGTAAAGGAAAGTCATTAAAAGATATCTTAATAAAAGCTAAGTTTTCAGGTCAGATGATTTAAAAGCGCAAGCGAATGGCAAGAGTCTCACAAGTCTATCAACACCTTTTCACGATCGACTGCATTTTGCTTTCCGGCTTACCCGGCGTGTCGCCGTGTGCATTGTAGAGTTATTCAGTGGCCAAGTGACATCTTTCATTGCTCTAATTCAACTGTCCTTCATTTAATGATCAAGATAGTAGATTTTCCATACAGCACTCGCGATTAGTTAATTTGCTTCTAACTAGGAAAGTAGATTTACGACACCATCGAGTATACAATAGTAACGCTGTGTAACGCAACAATAGGCCTTTTCTTGGTCATAATCGGTCTCAAACACTAGCACTTAAAATGCGCGAAACACATGTACCGTTGGAGAGCGTTTGAGAGCGTTTGGTCAGAGCTGTTTAAGAAGAATCAAAGCGGCCATCCAAATCTTTGAAAGGCTCCAAACTACGACGTATATCAAATTTGACCTTCTCGAAATTTGGTCTCAAATTACATACTAAAAAACAGTGATTGCGTTTGTCCTTGAGAGCCATAGAATACCCGACAAATACGTACAAAAAATACTTTTACACATTCAGAATAAATCAGGTTATATTCACCTATGGTGAAAGGTGAAAGGAGTGGCCTAACTGTTACGGAATGTTCAGTCAAAATCTGCCGATTTCTGCCGCTCTCACCGCCATATTGAAAATGAAGCTACCACAAGGCAACGCAATGGGAGTGCGCACACCGCCTGCGTCTAGGGCGAAAGTCGAGCTAAAAAAACAGTTGCGCATCCGAAAACCCCAGGTGAGCTGGATGGAAAGGAGGGCATGGGAGAGGGCAGATCGATAAGTAATTTTTGACACACCCCTTCCTCTGTCAAAAATTCCCGAATCCCCTCCCTACACTTGCTTAAAGAGCGTTTGCGACAGCAAAGTCATCCAAAAGGTACCTAAATGTTCATTGCAGACTTAAAGTCACACAGGAAGAATGGCACTCAGTGGCAACGAATGCAAACAGGTCAGGAAGAAGAATGTTTCTTGATCTACAAGTTATAACTACCCTCCTTATGATATAATCAATTATTCAGGGAAAGAACCGCAGCATCAACAACAATAAGAAGAATATACTTATTGCAACAGAAAAAAGAAGTAAGAATAGAATAAAGCAAATTTGGGTGCAATCTGTGGATCAAAATACACAGACACGAAAATTTCAATTCCATACAGTGATCATTGAATTGTTTGTTTTCAGAGGCATGCATTACCAAATGGTTGCCTAGCAATCAATACCAAATATATAAAATTAAACGTACTGATATAATAGGGAAGGTTTAAAAAACATTGATGAACTACTCTTTCTAGCATTAAAAGTTAATAACAAGTCTTATCAATGACGTACGACCAAATAAATGGTGAAGATAGTGAAAAAATGTTGAGCAGATATTATTTTTTCTTATACGAGAGCTGCAGCGTGAGTATTAAACCTATTGTCACAAAGTTTCCCAGCCGTGATGAGTTGTCCGAACCAAGTACTACAATAATAGCGTATTAGCGCACTAGCGCACTAAACATGCCGTGCTGAGTGTCTGTACCGAGTACTAAGGTACTAACGTACAAGCGCACAAAACAAATCACCAAAAAGCAGTGATGAGTTGTCCGTACCGAGTACTACAGTGTAAGTGCCCCTAAGGCACGGGTTTATCCCTTGTTTTGATTTAGTAATCGTTTAATTAATAATCTGTAAAAGTCACACTAGGTGCCTCGTCACGCGTTCCGTAAGTGGTATCGCATTTCCAAACAGAACGGATCTATTGTGCAATTCAATAATTCGATCGATTTCGCAAGCACTCGTGGTTTAATTGAAAGAAATTGTCTGTCGTTTTTATCGAAGGAAGGAAAGGTCTTTTTTGTGTCAACTCTCGCCAGATCCGGCAACAATGTAAGTTTAATTTACCTCGAGTGTTTCTATAGCTAATTTCTTGTCCCTAATTTTGTGAATCAATTATTTTTAGCTTCACGGTCAAATACGACATTTAATAAAGGAGGCGTTTAACAGAAAGAAATTGGGGCGATATTTGTTGTGTCGATCAGTGAGATTCGTACGGTCCAGCTAGCGGCGATCAAGCGTCGCTATATACAGTATTAACGTACTAAGAAATAAACATGCCGTGGTGAGTATCTGTACCGAGTACTAAGGTACTAACGTACTAAGGCACTAAACAAATGAACACGCCGTGATGAGTTTTCCGTACCGAGTACTAAAGTACTAACGCGCTAAACAAATGAACATGCCGTGGTGAGTGTGAGTGGTAACTGTCCTAATCGAAGTTTCTCCGTACTCTCCGGGGCGAATGAAACAGAAAATGTTCGAGGCTGAAACCACACTATTTTACCCCTCTCTTGGGATAAAAACGATTTGTGTTTAAAACATCTCGACTTAATCACGTTCAAGGTAACATATTCAAACTAGTTATCTGATAAATAATACTTCGTCGAAATGGCCATTTTTTTAACGCTGACCTCGAAAAACCGAATCGTTACACGACTTAAAAGTCATCCAGAAAAGACCCCTCAGGTTCTGAATTATAAAAGCACTAGGAACTAAACATTTTTATGAAATAATGATTTGAGGGGAAGATAGTGCTGATAATTTTAACATGGTTCGAGGCTGATCCCTTTTCCCAAAAAGATACGTTTTCAAACAGAAAGAGATACTGGTTGACGGACAATAACTATTCTAAATAAGTAGGAGTGGACGTTACTTTTGGGGGAAAATGGGTATGGGAGTGCAGTGTCTCGGAAAAGATGATGTGAAACGATAATTTCGCCGAACTGTCCGGGACCCGAAATTGTTCAAATTTTGAGGAATTAGCTTCTCTCATACCAAATAGTTACCTCAGCATTCTCTCCATTCACTTCAATGGGTTCCATAATCGATAAAAAGTAGAAAACTTCAACAAGACACTTGTTTACGCGTATCATATTGATTGTCTACTTTTTCTAAGCTTGAGCGAGCTAATGATAGGAATGAGTCGAATCACGGTCCAGTTACTAGTGAAGAAATGTAAAATGGTTTCCGTGTTTACATAGCCTGATGTAAACACGCGGGAAGTTGGGAGAACACGAGATAAGCGTAAGAAACCACGACGCGAAGCGGTGTGGTTTCCAGCTTATGCTTGTTCGAGAAGTGTAGTTAGTACGCTAGTACGTTGGTACACAAGAGACATGCAGTTCTTTAATCGAACACTAGTACGTTGGTACGCAAGTCATTCATGCTTGTTCGAGAAATGTAGCTAGTACGCTAGTACGTTGGTACGCTTGTGACATGCAGTCCTCTGATCGAACGCTTGTAAACGCTTGTCGCAGAAGTGGAGTTAGTACGCTAGTACGTTGGTACACAAGAGACATGCAGTCCTTTAATCGAACCCTAGTACGTTGGTACGCAAGTCATTCATGCTTATTCGAGAAGTGTAGTTAGTACGCTAGTTCGTTGGTACGCTAGTGACATGTATTCCTTTAATCGAACGCTAGCGCATAACGACGCAGGTCATTCATGGTTGTCGGAGAAGTGTAGTTAGTACGCTAGGACGTTGGTACACAAGAGACATGCAGTCCTTTAATCGAACGCTAGTACATAACGTCGCAGTTCGTTCATCGGAGAAGTGGAGTTAGTACGCTAGTGCGTTAATACGCTAGTGACACAGTTAGCATATGTACTGATAGTACTGTAGTACTGGTGAACACCGTTAGTACTGTACATAGTACTAATGACCAAGCAAAAAACTAAAAGAAATCTTTCCTAAAACGGGCAGCATATGTACTCAATCCTTACTACAGACTAGTTACCACCTGTCAGGTTGATAAGTTATGGACGTAACTACACAAAGTACTTCACTCATCAAAACACGTTGGACTTACCTTGAGAGGGTAATTCATTGGCACCTAAATGAAATAAGAAACAAAAAATTAATGTCGTCTCTTTAAACCAATTTACTTAAGAAATTTACTTACAATCTGATTCATTCATCTCAAACTAATATTATCTCAGGTTCCAAAAAAGCGTAAAAAAAAACCAACAACAACAAGACACCATAAACATGTGTGCTGGCATTTATCACTTCCATATCCATACATGCAGTACTGGATAAATCTATTTTTTTAGTTTCAAACAATTTGCTGCATTTCTTGTTGGTAAACTGTGAGGAACACATATCAAATCACTTCAAATCACTTTGGCAGATGTCATTAACCTCTGAATTTTCCATATTTTGGTGGTGTTACATAAACCAAGCTAACTTTAGAATACAGGCCAATTCACCTGGCTCGTGGAGCGAATTGTTATTTATCATTACATCACTCAATTTGACCACAAGTTTTTTTCTCCCATCACTTTAAGAGGCCTTGGTAAACCTACTGGTATGTTAACTCAAATAAGGGTAACTTAATTTCCTATTTGTGAATAATACTGATTAAATCATCTTGATTAATTTTATAATCCATACAAGAATATGCTGTAGTCAGACCTATCCTTGTAAAAAGACAAGATTGAGACAGGAAGCAATACCTGCATTAAAGTGAGGCCAATCTTGGAATATGACTGGATCATTCAAAATGTTGGCCACAACAGATGCTGCCATCACACAGGCAATTTGTTTTCATTTCTTACTTGAAGACAGTGTTTCATCCACAAAGTCTTTGATGCCCTTGACTACCACCCATTCTGTCTTAAGTGGGCTGCCGCATACACTCCTTCAACAAAAAAAACACTCATGTCTGTTAACTATATTGCTAATTTTGGTAGAATCCTTAAAATAATTGTTCAATGAAAGCTTACAAAGATTCACAATCTACCTGCTCGTACACATGCACATCCCAGAAAGACATTGGCTAGTACCAAATCTAATTTTTTTTCAACCAGTAATTAAAAAAATGTACATCTTGTTTCATAAGTAACTTTCAGTATTACTCAAAAGACAAATTTTTGTCAGCTAGAGTCAACCCTTTCACTCCTAAGATCTCTTTGGTAATTCTCTTTAGCATCTGTCATACAATTCCTATGATGTTACAGGTGGCGTAGTTGGGAGAATTTGGTTTTGGATCTACCAATAATTCTCTAATTGACTTTTTTTTTGTTTTCCCACTACTTGTCTGCTTGATATCATATTGATACTGTAAGGAGAAACTCTGTCTTGGTCACTCATGGGAGTTTTAGGGTTAACAGGGACTGATACTACACATTCCTCAACTCTAAAACTATTTCATAGGATACTTTCAACATTTTTTAGAGGACAGATTTAAAACAGTTCATGACATCCTGATGGAGCACATTCAATTTAGTTAACCAGAATATATCTCAGTCACCTTCACCTGTAGAAAAATCTTCCTACCCCAGCCAAACATAATTTAAAAATCACCATTATATATAATTCCTTCAAATTTGGCATCCTATATGGTATATCTGTTTCTTGAACCAGCAGAGACAATACCAGATAAGTGTTTTTTCATAACACTAGCTTCAAGTGCAAAAGTTCTTCGCTCATCAGTTATTTGAATTATTATGATTCTCACCTCCACCTTCCATTTCAACTGCAATTGCTTCAGGATGTTTCCTAATCATGTCTCTGTTTGCTTCTGAAATGCTCAGAACCACTCCATCACAATGCACTTTGGCATCATATTCATCAGCATTTTGTAAAGGTGCCTTCCACCCATCAGCCACATGTTTGATCAGGTTACTAATATCTCTGCTGGGGGGAGTTTTGTGTGCAGCTGTTATCAGCTTTGCTGAAACAACCACATCTCCTAACTTGACCTTTTCGCTGTTTAAACCACTGCAGGCACCAACAGAAAAAATAGCCTCAGGTCTCAGTAGTAAGATGGCATCTTTAGAAGCAGACAAAGAACCTCGAGGAACATCAGGACCTTTGGAGCACCTCATCAGTGCAATTTTCATTTTCTTTCCATGATAATCACCCATGCACCCAAAGTACAAAGGGCCAGTACTATTGTGGTAACTCTTAAAGAGTTCCTTGAGGTAGGCAAAGCAGCTTAAGAACTCACAGTCCTCCACTGTTAATAAAAGAATATCAACATGAAGTTCAACATTGCTCCAAGCAAAAGAGGTTTCAGGAAGATCACTCATCAATGGAAGTGTAACATTGAGCTCTGGTGGGCTTGCATTGCTATTCTGTGCTGATGTATTTTCCCCTGGTATCATGACTGTCTCTGAAAAAGAAGAGTGTTGTTTTTAATTTTTTTTTTTTTGTTTCCATTCATTTTTTAGAAGTTATTAGCAGATCTGAATGAAAACCAAAAGACAATGAAGGAAAAGAAACAAAAACCGGTTATGAATAGTAATTAGGTCAATGCATCCTTGACGCAGCAGAAAACATTTTAAGCCCACACTAACTGATAAAACAGTGCAAAATAACACAGACACACTTAAAGAAAAAAAACACCTCTGATTGCTTCCCTTTTTTCTCTGAGTTTGCATGGTGGTGTCATTCACTGAGTAACATCATCTTTCACTCAAATAATTAGGACTTAAATCTATCATCTTCAGTAAAAATTATATCTCAGTTATGAATTTTTCATAGAATAATATTCATTCACATCATCAAGGAAAAAAAAAGACAAAACTTTACTATTACCAGTATATACAATGTACCTATGACTTTCCAAGCAAAAATATTGGAAGTAAATCCTTTTATTTCATGATCCACAATATCTAACATTATTGATACAAAAGAGGAATTTTAAACCTTAAGATCAACAAAAGTAAATCACACAAACCTTCCTTTCCTGAATTTTGTTCATATATCGCAATGGAACCCTCGAGGTCATCCTCATTCCTGGCCTTTTTACCATTTCATTTTTATGTAATTTGTCTGTGATACAGTCTTCATCCTTCAACCACTCTTTAAAAAGCTCCTGGTAGTCCTCCTCAAAATCAGTATCCATAAAATCAGTTTTAAGATCATTGATAACATCCTGATAGTGTGCCCCTCCAATACGCTGAAAGGTGTCTTTGATATCATTCCAGTAGCAACTGAAAGTTAGATCATCAACTGAACCACTAGTAACACAGCTGTAAACTCTGTCTCTAAGGATCTTGATGTGAGTGATGTCAGCTGCTGGAGTGGTGTCTGTTACCAGAGGAAGGTCATCCTGGCCAGGGGCAGGGAGAGTCAGACCCCAGATATTCCTCAGAAGAAATAGCAGTAGGGGGGTGTCAAAGCTCCCTGAGGAAACTGGTGATTTGATGACAGGATACAGTTTGTGCTACTAGGAGGTAGTCAGGACTCTCTTCTTTCAAAGTGTTTGCAATTTGGCATGATTTCTGGGATCAGTCAGAACTGTGTGAAGATTTCCTGGTGGATATATCCTGTCAAAGATCTCCCTTAGCACATGTGATCCAACTTCAACAAGAAGGAAACAGAGCCAGGCATAATTAGAGGTCTCTTGGGTAGTAGGATGTGATGGGGTAGCAGAAGCCATGAAAACAAGTCCTCTGCAAAGAAATGCTTGTACTTAATACAAAGAAGGCAACGTTACAGAGCACACACAAAAATCATTACTTTGTTATAACTTTGAAACATCAGAATACTAAAGCACTCAAAAAATGAGTTAAATATCACGTAACAGATCAATAGAATAAGTTTGAGGCATCTTCCATTTTAACCCTTTAACCTCTAAGAGCTGTGATTGGCTTCTAATTTCTCCTTACAGTATCAACCTTGAATCAAATGTATGGGTCATAAGAATAAAGGAGATCATCAAAAATTTAAAATGTTCCTGAATTTCTCCTGTCACACTTTATCTATTTTCTCATATTCAATATACAAAATATTCCTTCAACCTGCAGATAGCAGATGCTAATCCAGGTGGGGCAATTTTTTACTCAAGATTACTATCAACAAAATTGGGTGCCTTTGGGGAAAATTGTCCTACTCATGCTACAATTAAAGAAACTGTAATAAACAGAGACCTTCTGTAGATAATGGTTAGTTTAATCAAAGATGAAGTCAAATGGAACACAGAAAACTTCCATGCACTCTATTACACAATATTTGATATCCCTTTACTTGATGCCAAACATGTGATTAGATTGTAACAGAAATCTCAGAAAAAATACATCACAGTAAAGCTTATAAAGTAAAGATAATAGAAATAGCAAAACTTTTCACAGTTTTTGTTTTGGTAGGCACATGTAAACACTTAAACACAACATTGATGGTGTTTGCTTTACTGAATTCCTGGCCTCCACATTACCCCAGACCTCAAAACAAACTGGACAGTATTACTCAGCAGATTACAGGCTGTGATTGGCTTCTAATTTCTCCTTACAGTATCACCCTTGAATCAAAAGTAATGGGTCACAAGAATTAAGGAGATCATCAAAATTTAAAAAGTTTCTGAATTTCTCATGTTACGCTTTATCTATTTTCTCATATTCAAATAGAAAATACTCTTTTGACTAGCAGATAGCAGATGCTAATCCAGGCAGGGCAATTTTTTACTTAGGATTGCTGTCAACAAAATAGGGTGCCTTCCAGGCTAACGAGGTGTCTGAGGCAATTTCTATATTCTTATTAGTTCCTGTGAAAATCTATTGTGAGGTTGGACAATGTGAAATACTGCACGTGTCAATGCAGTCATGCTGCTGACCAATGAAACACAACATGAAAGCCCCTGTCAAGCCTCCTGACAAAGAACTCCTTTGAAATTTGAAAGGTCATTTCATGAAAAGAAAACGTAAATTAAACATAATTCAAACATCATCAAGCAAGCTGGGGCCACGGAAAATGAACCAATTAACTTCAATTTCTTTGGCTTGGGCTCTCTTTACCAACTTTTAGTTGACTGTTTTAGGCTGTTTGATGAAGCCTCTCATAACTCAACATTTTGCAAAATGTGTAAGAGATTCCCAGTGAATATGCAGTGCAAGATGTGTTGTAAACAATGTATGCAAATTGAGATCCTGGATGAAAGCCTGCAGAAAACATCAACACACTGCTGGAGGCCTTTCTGTTTATGACACCTTTTGTTCTTCAGGAAAGGTTTCCTAAGAGATTCTTCCAGCCATATCTCGCCTCCTTTCTAAGATTTTTGTTTGGCAAATTAAGCTTTTAAGTGGTTAAAACTAGTTTCTCCAACTTAAGAGAAAAAATGAAATTTTGAAAATTTTTAGCAAATTTTACTGGCAGTAAACAAGATAATATTACATAAAAGAGATTAAAAGATACACAAGAAAAGAAAAAGGAAAATGAAGGACATTCATTGTAAAAGATAAAAAGTTGTTGAGTATCTAAGTGCACCAAAGATATTGTACAACTGCAAGTTTAATTTGCCTCAATTTTGCAGTGTTTGAATTTAACCATTATCTCATCAGGCTCAACAGAAGAATTTTCAGTCACTAGAATATTGAGACCAGCTTTTTTGTTTCTTTTTTGAAGGATTTCCTCAACAAATTTTTCTATTCATTACCCATCTCATTCCAGATTTTGACAACTAGAGTATTTAATCCTAAAGAGTTGTGATGTTGATGAGTAAGTATAGGTGTAATTGTTCATTCTCACAAAAATTTTCATAATGTTAGATGGTGCTCTTTTGTTGTGAAAATCAAGCATTAATTTACATACAGCTTCCTAATGTAAGAAGATAATAGGTAGAATTTTTGCGTTTATAAATTAGGGAATAGCATGTTCTTTACTGTCAGGAAAGTAGATAAACCACAACACTCACTTTTGGAGACCAATTTTGTTTACAATATATTTTTTAGATGCATTGCCCCAAGCAGTGAGTCAATTGCTATATTAGTTAAAATTAAGGATTTATAGATATTTATGAGGACAGATGATGGAATAACATACCCCACCTAAGCAATCATTTGT